TTGATGAGGTACAGGACCCCACGTGACAGTGTGGTCAGTTGTGCTGGCTCATGGAGGAGGCTTCAACCCAGAGGGTTCCCCCAGTATGCCCAGCGACATTGAGTACTTTGTCATGAATCTCCAATTCCATGCGAAAATGTCTACTGCAGGCCTTGCTTGATGGAGGCCGAAGCTTTATCTCAGCTGGTTGCTGTACCTTGGCCAGTTGGGGAGGTGTTGGATAGATATCCGATACTTTTCATTTACCTATATAATATATCTATTTTGGAGTCACCATAGGCGCGGTACCCTTTTTGTGGGACTTTCTGTAGTACCTCTGGACACTAAACTCTTCGTTTTGAGGAGTTTCCTCAAACGCCTCCTTTCCCATCAACTTGGGCGTCCAGTCGTCCCAAACTGAATTTTCCTGTTCTGGCCATTCGTAGGGCGAGGTTCCAACCGTTTGATTTCGGTTGAAAAACCGCACAAAAGTCTGAAGCCCAACAATTCACAATCTCACGACTCTTCCCAGAACAACCTTTTTCGGGTTGGCTGAGCTCTCAACTTGGGTCAGCGTTTCCGATGAAGCCAAAGACGGGTGACAGAGGTTGAACATATCATATCTAATATCTACCAGGTCTGGACTAACATGACCCATTCCCCCCTAATACTTGCAGGACCTTTCAGGTTATTTTTGTGCTCACTTGTTACCACCCAAAAGAACTGACACACCACCACCGCCCTTCCACCTTCCCTCGGCGCCATTTTCCGCCTGACCAGCTCAGGAACTGAAGCATCCTGCCTGGATCACCTTCTCCTGCAAGTCGCACACTCAAGTGTCCTCCGGCGAGCCGATCGCCGACTGCGTCCGGGCCGTGGCGGAGAACCCTTGGATCGTAGGAGCCCCCGCTTGGCGCGGAGCTTGGGGCGGAGCGGAGCCGACGTGACCAGGTGAGACCCGTCCAGGCGGACACCGTCCGACTGGATGAAGTCCTCCTAAGACGGCCATGAAAGGGGAAAAGCACCCTAGAAGAAGGACCCGTCCTTGGACCGTGATTCTGCTACCGCAACCGTCTCTTAGATGTCAAAAAATCGTCTAAAAGATTCTAAGATGCTTCAATACTGCGCAGTACCCCTCTTTTTCCCACAAACGCACCATCACGGGTGCTTTTTCCATCCTCAACCGATCCTCTGTTCCCCTTAAGAACGCACCGCGCGTTCTTACAGGTTCGTCCCCAAAACGTTGGGGTCTAGGAGCTGACGTAGCTTCTTGTTACTAGTAGTAAGGCGCCTTGCTACTAGTAGCGTCCTTGCTCCTAGTAGCGATGCCCTTTGTCCCTAGTAGCTTCTTGTTGCGAGTAATGCCAGGAGCTGGCGTGAACTGCACGCATCCCAAGTTCGTGAAGAGCTTGGTCGAGATCTGCCGAGCTCAGCTGCCACCCGAGAAAAGTGCCTGGGTGGCAGCGGTCGGGTCGAACTGTGGGTGAAAGAAAGGTGTTATCTGGAAAATGATGCGGACTGCGGACCTCTAAGACTTTAAGGTGGCATTTTGTGGCCACCTTGGGAAACACGGGTGTTTTGCAGGAGATCTTATGTTGGAGGGTGATTTAAAGAATCAACATTGTTAAAACATAGAATGCACTAATTAAAGTCCCGACCCATTTATGTTCCTCCAACATTACAGTCATACTTTTGTAGATCCAAATTGGCTCCCAATCCTCCGAATCATGGAGCCTGACTTTGGAGTTGTTTTCCCCTCTGTAAGACATGCATGACAGAGGTTTGGACTTCGGATCTATTGGATATGATAAGGCGGATAAGAACAACTCCCATTTGTTTTCATAGAAAGATTGTCAAGAAGGCAAAGCTGGGAATCGTCACACTTAGCGCACTGTGTCATTGAGAAATACTTGTGTGCTTTGGCGGAGAAATTATGTTCTTTTATTTTGCGCGGTGAAATGTATTGGTTTCTTGTCCAGACGCATCCTTTATCTCATCTCTCCTGGAAGTCGGAGGCAGGGCAAAAAGAATAGGCCGTGCTTCATTTTTGGTGTGGGGTGGGGGTGCAGATCTGGTTTATGGCTTTCACAGCACCGCGAGTGCCAGTCTTTGTCACGAGCTGCCAGTCTTTCCGTCTGAGGTGTGGTGGTTTATCCAAACAGTGGCGAGGTTTGGAATGGCACCAGCCACAGCTGGGAGACTGGCACTGCCACAGCTGACAGCCAGAGACTTGACCAGAGTTGAGTGAAGACCGTGGAAGACGCGGACCTGGAAGAGACTCTTTAGAGAACCCCAACAAACATTGAACATAATATAGTATGATACAGTATACATTAGTATACCCAATACATATGAATACATACACATATGTCTATTAGTAAGTTTCGCAAAGAAGCCCTGTTGGAAATGGATTGGACATCATGACACGATTTGTTTTGAGGACCGCTTTACCACTTTTTTTTGTGGAGCAAGCGTGGAAAGTAGAAGAAGCCCTGGAGGTGGTTGGGAATATGAGGCAGAATCTTCTTTACACGCGAGGGGTGCTAGGAGTGTGTTGGCATGGGGAGCGGGTTACCCTTCTCCATGCTGGTTTGACCATGCTGCACAGTCAAAGAGTCTTTTGGGCTCTTCCCACACATGAATTTGCGATTCAAAGAAACTGATCCTACTCCAGAGTCTGTCCAGAAGAAGCACCATCAGACATATCCACATTTTGTCGCTTCTGGAAGCACATGAGGAGTTATTTACATCCGGGATTTGTATACAATGACGTTCAAATGTCCTTGTAAGTCTCCATTTTTCCTTATAGCCAGGGTTTTCTCTACAGTTGCCCATCCTGTTTCTCATTTTGAGGTTTGTGGACATGGCCCAAGAGTGGTACCGCTCGGGTGCCAGCTGCATCGGCGGCTGCTGCCGGACCACGCCACGCACCATCAAGGCATTGGCCGCTGGCACCTTCACGAGGTGAGTGTGCGGGTACATGGGAGGCAGGGTGTGCGGGGTCAGATGGGAGTTTTTTTAGTGTGTCACGTACTAAAGCATGTCAAGGTGGTATTTGTATGGTTTGTCTGGTTGATGGATGCTGATTGTCTGGTTGATGGATGCTGATTGGGGGTATATATATATATATATTTATACGAATATGACACACCTGTTGCACAGACTAAGAATCAGCAGAGTTGTTTAGCCACAGCGAACAGCTCACTGCCTGACGTTCTCATTTCACCCTGGAGGCCGCACCATGCGCTGCTGCCGGCGCAAAGCAGAGGAAAAAGTGCGGGCGCGGAGTGGCTGACAGAGTGGACTATCGGACAAACATCTATATATTGGTGTGGCGTGGTTCAAAGAGTCAAAAAGTCTCAAACAACGCAGGAGACCTTGACTTGGAACATCACTTTGGGTGTCCGCTGAATCCCGTGTGGCCATGGCCAATGAATGCGGCTCCATTTTCAAGAATCTGAACACAATGTCCATTTCTTTCTACTGTATTGCCCATTGCCCTTTTTCCTTTTGCCAAGGGAGTATCGTCCATCTCAACCAGAAAGAGCAACATCGCGAACTCGGCTGAACTTTCTCCAACCATCGCTACGGCCCCACGCGGTTCCTTCGCCCTCCATTTGGGGCGGTCCGGCAGGATCGTGAGGGCCAAGCGCCGGGCGGGATGACGGCGGATGGCGGGATCCGAAGTGAATCGAAGAGATGTTGATGTACTGATCGCTTGGTACCAATATGGATGGATCTGTAAACGAAAAGGTAAGCCCCTGAATCATACCATTTTGCTTTCATCATTGTATGTTGTTTTGGCTCAAGGTTCCGATTCTATCAACATCTTGGTGGTGTTGAAGCCATTGCAGGCAGTCCCACAGGTGCTAGTGCTTGTCGGCGGAGCCAGAAAATGCTTGGCCTCCAACAACGAGTCGATGATCCTTGACATGGATTACAGGAAAGACAAGTACATGGAAACCACAGGATATGCAATGATATGCATAGAAATCTACAGTTTCAATGGAACAGCATTTAGACACTGACACCTATATCCTATATACATTTTCTTTGATTTGTCCTGTCATCCACTTCAATGAGATTAGGGTGGAACTCGGTCAGTCAGTGTTTGGGGTGGAAGTCGGTGAAGTGAGTCTTAACCGCCCGCGAGCACGGGACGACCACCCTGAACTAGCTTAGCCGCAAGTGCTGCTGAACTCCGTTTGGAGGAAACAAAAACAAGATGAGACGTGTGTGGAACCCCACGGTGGGGTTCCTAGAGTCTTGGAACAGCATGAGTTCTCTTCCTGCAGAGCCAAGGTGGGTGAGACCTGCTTCGTTCTGGTTGATGGGCCATGGTGATCCAAGTATGACTTTTTCTCTTGGAAATCAGCCAAGTGCTAAGGTGAAGAGCGTTGCTTTTGGACTACTGTAGCAAAACCCATAGAGTTAGTTATTTTCTTGTCCTTTGATTTGTTGGTTACTACGTGACTTGATAGCTTGTTTCTGTACACTTCTACGCAATATGTTTCTGGGGTGGCAATGTCTGACGAACACAATGCTTTTACTTAACAGTTGACGCCTGTGGCCAGCAACCTATCAAGCCGAGCCTAGCAAATCAATGGTCAAGAGGAACCACTTGAGGGAGGATCTATTTGAATGAAAGAAGCCAGGACACAAAAGACTTGGTGCATTCTCAGTTGTAAGAGGACCATTGACGAAAAGGGCCCATTCAGTCCTCCGTGGCACTTTCCGTTCGAAAGTGCCACAACACTTCGTTCCTACAAAACGCCGCCCCCTCGGTTGGCCCGTCTGGGTTCCGTTTTTGTCCTCTTCGGCACCTTTTTGAAGTTTTCGGCCACAGAATTTGCCTCCCTTTTGTGTTTTTTTTTTTTTTTTTTTTTTTTCGGATATCACCCCCTTTCCATTTGGGCTTCAATTGAATCAGGAATTTCCTTCAAATCCAAACACAAGTCCCCCTTCCAGTAGATCTCGGTGCCGACTTGCTTCCCTTTTCGGCTCAAATTCCGGTGAACCCAAAGGTGGTGCCCGACAGCGGGCGGCTTGCTCAGTGGGTGGAGGGCGACTTAGGCTCGGATGGTGCTTGCTCGGATGGTGTGTTTATATTTTTTTTGTTTGAAGATTTTGAGTGTTCTTTTTCTAACAAGATATTGAGGGGGATCTTTGATGGCAAAATGACGCTTTCATTTCCACGATTTCTGCCCGGAGATTCTGTTCAAGTGCATTTCGCATGTTCATTTGTTTGGGTGCCAATTTGGGTGGTCAAGCAGCAAGCAGGGACATCCCCCTTGCAATTCTTCGCCCCGAGGTGCTTGATTGGCCTTGCCGAACCACGAAGTCACCTTTTGGGCCAACCAACCGGCACCAAGGCCGTTCACAACACAGCAGTCAAGGTGGGGTCGCCCGGGAGAGCGGAGGACTGGAGGACATGACCCGGCGGTCTCGATTTTCACTGCAAGGAGCTCATGAATTCCGAAGTTCTCCCCACCTGTCAGGTGAGGGTTGTTAGATTTGATGTCAGCTGCCGTCCTGCTGATCCTCCCCGTCCTCGTCCTCCGCGTCGTCCGAACAACCGCGAGTTCTGGCTGGTAGTGTTCCCCGCAGGACCTCAACCAGCACACAGCCACAAGCACAGCCACAAACACACAAGCACGGCCACAAACACACAACCACAAACACAACCACAAGCACAACCACAAGCACAAAGTTACAAACATACAGCCACAACCACAAACACAGCCACAAGCACATCCACAAACACAAACACATCCACAAAAACACGCACACACACAATCACAACCACAAGCACAACCACAACACATAACCACAACACACAAGCACAAAGACACACGGACAGCACATAACCACACCACACAACCACAACACGCAACCACAATCGCAGCACACAACCCGAGGACCCACAAACAAAGTCGAGAACCACAAAACTCACAACCATGGCAACATGCTCCTCACCATGGCATGAAGACAATTTTTTGACATGTCATAGTGGGGGGCTCGAAGTAGAGTATTTTTCAAAGAAGCGTAGCCACTGGGCAAGAGTGCCCCAGTTGGATTGCAGGTGATGTTACATATCACTTAGTTGTCATTGACTCCAATATCACTCATTCGTGTCACCTCATCATCCACTTTCGGCCTGTCCCTTTTTGATGCAAGGCCTTCGCCTTGCAGTCGGCTTGGAAGCGCTGACAACTGATGTCCAGAATAGGGGGCATGAGCTGAAGATCCTATTGCGCTCAATTTCCGTGTCCAAACCAGGTACTTTCGGCCATCCACGCGGGATCAACAGATGCTGGTCCCCCTTGACCAACAGACGATGTTCGGATCTGGAGTCATCCATGCAGGAGCCCAAACTCCAAAATTAATGGTTCACAACACGCCAGGCAAAGGAACACGAATGTTTTGTCCTGTGTTTAAAATGCTTCACATTTTGGTCGCTTGCCTCCTCAACACAGCCCCTCGTGTTCTCCCGTCTGTTGCCGGGTCCTGCGGTCCGGCGGTCTGCACCTGTGGTGTTTCCAGAAGCGGATGCCGAGGACCAAAGAGGCCTTGAGATGGGCAGCTGGAGCTGGGAGCCCCAAGCAACGCTTGCGAAGTGGGAACGAGCAAGCTGAGAGTGAAGGATGTTTGATCGGGGTGGGTTGGGATCGTGTTGAAAACAACCATTTTGGGAGGCCAGCATGCCCCCTCAATGAATGGTTCTTAGGAAATGCAATGCAGTACGTCAATATTGCTACCACTGGGCGTTCTTTGCCAATCTGCCAATCCTGAGGCAACCTCTTTTAGAGATAATGATCTAAAGTCGCAAGGATCTCGCAGGTAGTCAAGACACCCAAACCGAAACCCGTTTTGGTTTCACTCATTCATAGATTAAATAAATAAAAACACACACACACACACACACACACCCCTGTGTGAATTTCTGATTCCAGTGATCGTCAGAGCAAAGCCACGGAGCCTCTTGCAGGTAAAACGGTGCAAACACCTTCTGACATGATCCCTGATTGTACTCCCAGAATGAAATCTTGGGGAGGCATCCACACTTCCAAACAACATGGGCGTCGTGTTGGGACGCCCAGGAAACCCTTATGCCTCGCCTCCGATGGGGGCCTATGGCTACCAGGCTCTGCATTTTTGGATCCGCCCGGGTCGGTCCAAACGTGTGGATTGGAATAGGGGAGACCTTCAAGCAATGGGCAGGGCTCAGAGCTTAGATCTCCGGTGCAGGTGGAGACTTGGGGATTTTTGTTTTTTTTGGCAGTGATCCAGTTCGGGAGATTCATGGGACAGCCTTTTTTCTTACCCCCAAATAGATAGAAACGATTTAGAAAGGTAGATCCCCACTATGAATGTACTGGAAACCGTTTCTATCTATTTGGAAACCATTATTGTATTGGTATGAGGTTTCTTTGTGTACAGAACTGGAGCAAGGTTTTTAACGCTGACAAGCCTCAACCAATACACCATAGACGTCTCACTCGGGAAAGATGAGTTTCTCTTCAAGTGTAGAGGCCTAGGTGCTCCCCACTTGTTTCTGCAATAAGAAGAAATGTCTTGCAACACGACTGCTCTCCAGCCCAAAGATGGCTAGATTGCATTTCTTCTGTGGAGATCCGTGCGGGTTTGACTACGGATGCGCGTGCGCGACCTGGCATCCGTGGTAGAAACTAGAGCCACCGACATCCCAAGGCACCAGCCCAGACGATCGCTGACGTCGGAGACTCCGATCTTCAGACCCTTCAGAGCCCGCTTCGCTTCACCGTCTGACCGGTGAACGGGTGAACGGCGCGCCTTCGACGGGGCGCCAACCACCAACCGGTAAGCTGCTCGGGGTTCTGGGTTGCGCTGCTCCACCCCGGCGCAAAGCCGTTCACATCAGATGTCACGGACCAGTTCTTTCTTTTGAGCGGTGTTTGGTGGCCGTGCTTCAAGGTTATGATTTGTACAACATGTTCTGTTATGTTATGATTATGTGATATCTTATGTTATGTACAAATTTGTGATTTGTGATTGGACCAGAATTCGGAAGAACTCCTGTGTCTTTAAACCTGCTTTGGCCGTCAGCAGCCTTCTGTGGCCGACATCGCACCGCGTAGTGCCTCCGACGGAGGCACTGGGCAATTCGCTTGGCCCTCAGGGGGTGCGGCAAGTTTTGTGGACAGAAATTGCCATGGAGCGATTTGGCAATGAGTACATGTTATTCATCACTTAATCCTTTGGTTGTCATTAGCCACAGTTTTGGCTTTCTCCATAGGCCTGATGTTTTTGAACACAAAAACTTGTCGGGCGATCAGTCGGCTCAGTTGTGCCAGCGGCTGTTCTAGCGATCGCCTGGTGCGAAGGCAGTACTGAGACTAGACTCTGAGGCTTTCTTTCTTTATTCTCCCTTATGGCGGGTTCTTTCTATTTTTCTTTTGAATTAACATTGATGATCAGCCTTTCGCACTTCTTCTCTCAGGAATGGCCACGGCCTGTCAATCCGGGAGGCTTGTGAAGCTGCAGGCACCAAAGACGGCAACATCGATCCGGGGGATTTTGTTTGTCGCGAAAATCTGTTTCCTCTCCGAAAGGCAGCAACTCTTCTGTATGCTTGGTGCTTTCGGAAGACTGGCAGGGAAGGTGACGTTGACAGGTGATCCCGCTTGTTTGCTTGAGAGAACACATAGCAGGGCCCTCGAAGCTGGCAGTTGTCAAACCCTCGTGGGATGTTTTATTGTTTTGTTCGAGGCGAACGAATTAGAGTGTTAAGATTGAATGCTTTTGTTCGGACACTGAGCAATGATGGTAATTGTGTAAGAAAGTTGGATCGCCGTATGATGCGATGCAGGGACAGCATGTGTTTGACCTCTTCTACGAGGGGGATCGAAGCTAGAGGAAACTGGTTGTCGCATTGAAGAACACAAGCTCTTGCTCCGAGTAGCTTCTAGCTACTGGTAGCGATGCCCTTTGTTACTAGCTTCTATGGCAATCAGACGATCTGAGCCTCTCCACACCCAGCACGCCTCTGGGGCCTCTCCACTCCGAGCCTCTCCGACCTCTCCACACCGAGTCCGCACGCCTCGTCGGCAGGGCGTGGCGAGAGTAGCGGCCACTGCGTCGATGACAATGAAATCTCGGTCATCGGCCCGGTCTGGGGCCCTCGGGAGCGAGCCGGCGGGAGTGACGCGTTTCAGGAGCATGCACCCGACCAAAACCGCCGGCGGGAAGAAGAACTGTGAGGGTTTGGTGTTATGGGATTGCCTTATATAAGTCTAGATCAATATTACTGTATATAGTTATAGTTATATATCCTGGACACCCCTTTGGTACACATTAATGTGTCCACTTGGTGGTCTGCTATCTTGTGTAAACATGAGCCATGACTTACCGGGCGGAGATCGTGGTCTTCACGGGGTGTTCACGGGGTCGCGACGTCTTCGGCGCAGAGGATGATCGCCCGGTGCAGCCGGTGAAGATCAACAGCTTCACCGAGATCCGAGAGCCGCTTGGGAGGGGAAAAAGCCGCGAACTGGGTGCTGATTGGGGTGGTGATTGCTGAAGAGAACCAGGTTGTGGGAGGTGAAAGGACCACAAGATGGGTTGGGCCACCCTGGAGTATAGATGTACAAATCAGGCGATTAAGACTTGAGAGGTGGGAATTCCTTGGTTTCTCTCATTCTGTGTGAACGCTACAGTGGTTTGTCACACACCTGGCTTTGCAGGTTTTCACGTCCCAGGTCGCATGCTACGACCCGGTCGCATGCGAAGCCTGCCGGGTCCGAGGTTTCCCTATGAGATCCAAGAGCAGTTCAGGTCAGTGGGATTCCGCGGGCGGTGTTAGTGACAACAGCCTGTGCTTAGACCTGAGACAGGAGACACTTTAACATTTGCACGATGGAACATGTTGAGAGTTTGCAGCAGCACTTCAGCAGCCCCGGCCTCCCCTAGTTTGACCACAGCAGCTTTGAAGCCCTTGCGTGTCAGTACGAAACCATTGTTCATCATCCAAACGCTTCCTTCGTTCGGCAGGAAAGCGGGCTTTCCAGCGCCTTCGCAGATCCAGGCACTGCAACTGAGGACATGGTTCGACGATCAGCGAATTGACCAGGGAATGTTTTTGATCATTTGCACCAATTCCAGCCCCACCAAGCTGTGACTCCAGCCCCACCAATCCCCACCAAGCTGTGACTTGAGGGATTGCGTTTGGGGCACGAGGACCTCACCGTCGATTTTTACAATGACTTGGGGTAGCAGCTGAGGTCTGAATGCGTATGGGGAAAGGTGTGCCCTTGTAAATTGGTCAAAGAGGTGTTGTGAGAATGATTGACACTCATCCATAGTTGCAAATAGACATTGACTCCATTTCCAGAAGACCCAAGCACCTGTTCTCTGCGGAACGTGCAGCCATATAGCGAAAGAACGTATAGCTCGAAGATGCTCGAAGATAGGGCGCACTCCAAACCTATACATGTACACATATACACATCATGTAATGTAATAACATAGAATATAATGTAATACAATAAAAACATATATATATATATAGCATCAAACCTACACATATGTATATATATACATATATATATACATAGAATACATAACCACCCATAATTGAGCCCTTGTTGGGCCGGCCCGTCGTATGGCCGGTCGACGAGGCCTATACCTGGCCGTTGGCCTTGCAGGGGAAGGCAGGGCAGAAGGGCAAGAAGGGCTAGGCAGGCAGACCTGGCAGGGCTAGGAAGACCTGGCTCTTTTGAACCAGCTGTTCTTGAAGGAAAGTTCGAAAGCCCAACGTGAGAACCTGTGATTCATGTCTGAAATCATCCAATGGCAGACCATGTGGGTCTAAACTATGGCCCGCCCTTTTTTGCGCTCTGCAATAACATGATTGGACGGATTTCGTTCAATTTATGTATTTATATATACGGGTTGAGTCTCTTCATTCTTCCATGCTTCATCCACATTTGACATCTCTAGCCGAGCTCAGGATGTCATCGGGATCGCGGCCACAGGCAGGGGTATTTTAGGTGGCTGCGCGCGTTTCTGGGTGGGTGTGTGAAAGAGAATCTCAAAGCAGGCTTCTCTCAAGGTAGGCTCCAAATTATGAGTGTCTGGCATGCAAAGTCTGTAACTCAAACACTCCCAGGGAGTCTATATATATATACACATATACACACACAATATATATATATATATATATATTTGTTGCGGCACCCAGCTAGAAGAATCCTGGCATGCCAAAGTGATCTCGAACACGCTGGGGAAGTGCATCGCCGGAGCCAGCTGTATTGGGGGAGGTTCACACATGCAGCAGCACCGGCTGTGATATACATCAGTGAAGCTGATCTCTTGTAGGACCTACTTGTGTCAGATGAGATCTCATACCACCCGATCCAATTGCATCATAAAACCATTTGTAGGGAACACCTGGCGAGCAGCAAGAACGAGATATGACATCCTTTGTAAGAAACTCGTGGAAGGTCAAGGTCATTCGCAAGAAACTCAAAGGTAACATCTTCATATATCTTGGATGCCATCGACGGCGAGGTGACCACGTTTTGGATGCCCTTTTTTCCGACCTCCCACGAACAGTAGCAACGGTAGCAACGGTAGCGCTCGCTTCGGTTGAGCTCGGGCTGTGGAGCGACCGGAGATCTGCGAACGAAGGAGAGGCCGAGAGTCCAAGCATCGTCTATTCCTTTCTTGTCGATAGGAGTCACTGTCTCTACATCTTTCGACAGTCTTGGCAGATCTTGGCAGGCAGCGGCAAGACGTTGGCGTTCCTCCTGCCTGCTTTCTGTGAAATGAACCTTGGCGAGCGGAGGAATTGGCGTCAACGGAGGGCACAGGGTTGGTGAATTGGAGGACTCAATGTGCGCTGCGCCCAGAGAAAATGATTTGGGATGGCCATGAAGTGAGTTTCAGGGTTGGTGATCCTGTTCAGTGTGTCATCACTTATCAGCGCTGCTCTAAACTACTACCGCTCCTGCTCCTGCTCCTGCTGCTACTGCTGCTGCTACTGCAACTGCTACTGCCACTGCTACTATTTTTTTGTTATTGTTATTATTGTTATTGTTAATTTTACTACACCTAAATCTAGACTTGCATGTCCAAGTCCACTGTTGAAACCAGAGGCCATTTGGCCACTTGGGGCATCTTTTTGGGATCTCATTTCGACCAATCGCAGAAGCTGAGGAGAAGAACTGGTCACAATCCAGACAGACATGGACCCGGCCTTTTGGTCATGTCGGAGCCCTTGTGGAGCCCTTCAGAGCCTGGGTGCTGTCCATTTTTCATGAGGACACTGCTGCTTTGGGATGCTGTTTTTGGTGCTTTTTCTAATTTCCATTCAAACAGCACACACTGTTTTCCAGACTCAGGGAACATGTCGTTCCGTTTTCAATTCCAGGTAGTTGTGATGGTGGGGTGTGGCAGAGAACAAGAAATTCCCAGGCCCAGTCTCGCTTTGACACGCCTGATGAAGGTGATATGCAAGCAACACGGTAATAACGGGTGTGGGTTATATGTAGCTAGATTCCAGCAGCATGTAGGTGAATGTTGATCTCTGTCATGGGTACTCTGACTCGGTCTGACTCTGTCTAATCTTTCTACTCTCAAGTCTTTAGCTGGTGTCTTACCCACCAAGCTAGCCCTTGTGATGGGCCTCAAACCATGCGTGTTGGTGAGGTTTACAGGTCGAAGGACTTCATTTCTTGTTTTGTGGCACACCACCACTTGGACCTTCCAGCAGGGATTGAAGAAGAGCAGCAGGCTCTCCAGGGTGGAAGGACCAGGCTGAACCGGTCGTTCTGGGCCCTCCAGAAATCGTTCTGGGCCGCACCTGCAGCACCCTTCAGTCGTGGCACCTGCAGCGGCTAAAAACAGATTTTCGGGTCTTCCCTCCGTCGCATCCCTTTCTTCCAACCTGGTAGCCACGCGACACCACGCGACACCACGGGAGGATGCGGGTCTTCCCACGTTCCCCGTGTCGGCGCTCCTGTGGTGTCGGCGGAAGCCGCGCTTCCGCTCGCGACGAGGTCCCCCACCAGAGAGCTCGCGCAGCAGACTGAGACCGAGGCAGGAGGTGTTTTTATTTTTTCTTGTTTTTGGTGTTAGAAGGAGGGGTGTTTCTGTGTCATTTCCCATGGCCATGGGGGTTGTATGGAATTCACAATGGATTCACAGATTCACAATGGATTCACAGATTTTACGATGGACTTTGGGAGGTTTGGAGTGTTCCTGATGGGCACATGGGAGGGAATGTCCCCCAGTTCCGCATAGACCCAAGGTCTATCAATTGGGAGCCAAAAGCCTCCGACAGCCTCGATTGGGGCCCTTCTGGAACCCGCAAAACACCATGCAGTTTTCAGGAACCAAACCACCCAGAAGCTTGACCTGTACAGAAGTCATGGCTGGGTGCCTCTACCGCCTCTACCTTAACCCGTACCAAAAGAAGGCAAGCCTTGACTTAGTTCAACGGGAGGCCTCGACCTCGACCCTCCCCTTCTCCAGGCCGAGCGCTTCGGCGCGTGCATCGGCTTCAACGTGGTGGCCATGTACGGCGGCGCGCCGAAGAACGACCAGATCCGGAAGCCCGGGCCGCCGCCGTCGTAACGAGGTTTCCGGTGGATGGGGGGGAGAGATGGGGGGAAAGAAGACATGGGTCAATTGGGGGTTAGTTTATGGTTCTGTTGGTAGGTGGTGTTTTTGCCCTCACGTTGGTGATGTCATTGGCTTTGCCCGCTAAAGGTTTTTGTTGCAGTTGTGACGTGTCTTGTTTGGTTTGCGTGAAGGGGGTCATTGCTGAGGAGGTTAGAGATTTGATATGATTTCTTGTTTAGGTTGAGGTTCAAACTTCTACCAAGCAGTTGTTCAAACCATGGCCGAAACATTTGCTTTCAAGCTCATCCCGGCGCCATGAAAACTGCGCGTGTGGTTGAGTGAATTTGTATTGGAGTGAAACATAGCCGGAACCTGGAACACTGTGTGTTGTTTTTTTCCTTTTTAAATATTGTTTATTGTTTTCTGATCAGTACCTAGAAATCATCGCAATTACAATAGGATTCAGTTTCAGGCGGTTTTACACTATATTTTACAGTAGTCGGGAGATCTCGTGTCATGAAAGCGGCGGTAAAATTTGAGTCCACGAACGAGCTGTTTCGTCGTTTTCACAGGGAAAATGTACAAATGAAGGGGACGGTGGCACTCCCTTTCACGACAGTTTTGCAAAAGCCTTCCCAGTTGTAGAGCACAGGTCTTCCGTGCCAACATTCTCGAATCGCCATTGCCAACTTCGAACATATGTCATTATCTTCGTGTTAAAGGCACCACCAACACGAGTCCTCAACGAATGTGGTATGTTCTTTTTGGCCATCTTCCAGACATTATCAATGCCGCCCGTGTAGGCACCACCTACCGTTTCAAAACCAACCAACCTCAAGCGCAAACAAACGCTAGACTGGCAGCTGCTGTTACTGGGTACCGGATGTCAACTGTAGTTTTGATTCACAAACGATGCTTGTTGTTTGCTGAGCCGAGGAGCAGGGCCACACCGTATCGTCAAGCAAAAGAACAATTCCCGACACTAAACTTGATGTTACTGGGTACTGGATGTTAACTGTAGTTCTCATTCACAAATGATGCTTGTTGTTTGCTGAGCCAAGGAGCAGGGCTCCACAGAATCGTCCTGCAAACGAAGACGTGTCACGACACTAAACTAGATGTTACCCGGTACCGGAAGTTAACTTTAGTTCTGATTCACAAACGATGCTTGTTGCTTGCTGAGCCAAGGAGGAGGTCCACACCGTATTGTCGAACAAAAGAAGAACCATTCCCGACACTAAGCTTGATGTTACTGGATACTGGATGTGAACTGTAGTTCTGATTCCCAACTATGCTTGCTGTTTGCTGAGCCAAGGAGCAGGGCTCCACAGAATCATCTCGCAAAAGAAGAACACTTGACGACACCAAACTAGATGTTACTCGGTACCGGATGTTAACTCCTTGCAAGGACAGGGGCGTCTGTGGCGGAGGACGCGGAGGATGGTTTAGGATTCTGCTGCATACTGCTGCCAGTGGACTCTCGTCCAAACAAGTTGGACGTGTTCGTGCAGCGCGCGTGGCCATACCATCGGCGGACTGTTGTCGACTTTGAAGATCAACTTTCTTCCTACGGATCGTGTGACGCTCACCCTTTCTTGTGCAAGTTGTTTTCTCTCGCTCTTGCTTTTCCTTCTTTCTTGTTCTTTCCCTGCTTTTCCTTCCACCTCCTGCGGAACACAGGCTTACGTCTCTCCCGGGGTGCAGCAAAGGACCTCCTGCTACACCGTCTTTCGAAGCAAGGACGATGTCATCCAGGTCCGTGGTGAAGCTCTTTTTACTTTCACTTCTCTGACCGATCTTTGTTGTGCCCACCGGTGCTTCGCGGCATCGCGCGATTGTTCCCCAAACAGTTTACTGTTGGGGTTCTATCTTAGAAAAGAAAGAGCTGGCCACACTTACTGCCCGCGCCCGTGAACTCTGTGGCCGGGCTCTGTGGCCTGGCTCTGTGGCCGGGCCTTGTCCTCCTCTTCTCCTTGTCTTGGCCGCGCCCTTGAACTCCGTGGCTGGGCTGTGTGGCCCGGCTCTGTGTCCGGGCCTTATCCTCCTGTTGCCCTTGTCTTCGCCGCGCCCCTGTCTGTGGCCCGGCTCTGTGTCCGGGTCTTGTCCTCCTCTTGCCCTTGTCTTCGCCGCGCCCCTGTCTGTGGCCCGGCTCTGTGTCCGGGTCTTGTCCTCCTCTTGTCCTTGTCTTGGCCGCGCCCCTGAACCCTGTGGCTGGTAGAGGAGTGTGGCCCAACAAATATCGCTGTCGATGCCGACCAAACTCGAAGCAGTTTGCTCTTGGGGGGAAGGTAGGGCGTACCAAGAAATCGTTTTTGACTCATACTGGCCCAAACGCATCGTTTTGAAACTATCTGGGTCTATGCAGATATACTTTTTTCCACTGTGGGCCTTTCACTGCTGTGACGCGACGTGAGCGGCGTCCGCACCCATCTCTATGTTTATTTCCCTGCTTGTCAGGTTAGGGTTCGTCGTTGCTTTCGGAGCGTTACCCCTCCTTCATCTTCTTCTTCTGCTTCTGCAGCCATTTCTGCCTCGCTCTTTGCTTACGTGGTCTCCCCACCTCCTGTCTCCGGGTCGAAGCGCGGCAACATGCAGCAGACCAAGATCACCACTGAGTTCCGCGCCATCTTAGGTCAGCTCTTGACCTTGATGGTCGCGCGCGCTCTCCGCAGTCCAGAGGCTGGATATGCGCGTGTCACATGTGGGATCGCCCAGCCACTTGCCTTTTTCCAGTCGCGGGCTGCCTCCAGGGTTTCCAGTCGTGCCTGCAACAGTTGTGGTCACTTGACTTGTAAACCCCCACTCTCTTTAGACAACTGGATACCCTGAAGCATTGGGGGCCATTCCTGGTCTTTGGGTCGAACCAAGCGCAGCTACATAGGCCCTTCCCGTGTGGCAATTTGCGCGAGGCCCTGATCGCACGTGTGCCGTTGGCCTTCTACACTTGGAGAAGTCTGACGCGGGCGCAGCCAAAGCTGCGTATCGCAAGATGTGTCTCGCGACCCATCCAGACAAGGGATGCATTCAAAGTGATCCAAGACGCTTATGCAGTGGCCGCAACTGACTCAGGTGGCCTTGACCAGCCTCCACCAAAATCAGAGTGTGGAGATGCGAAAGGAACACTGACGGTCACTGGTGGCGAGTAGCTGGCGCTCGACGCAAAAGTTGTGGCAAAAAGGCCTTCAGTTGCACGCAAGAAGGCGTGGAACTAGCAGCCTGGTGCCACAGCGAGTGGTGCAAACAGTGCTGATCTGGCCCAGTTGCTGGAATAGACGTTGACGATGTCAAGCCTTGCCTGATCCAGACTACCTGAGACCGATAGACGACTCTAAAAATGAGGCTGAAATAGCAGTCATGACTCTAAAATAGCCTTACCCGTGAGGGTACCCTGGCACATGACTCGAAAATACAGCTTTTTCAATTTGTGTTTTTAGTTCTTGGGGACATTTAGTCCACCTTTCTGTTTCTTTTTCCAGTCACGGGTAAACAGAGGTTAGCAGGGCTACACAGGATCGTCAAGCAAAAGAAGAACAATTCCCGACACTAAACTTGATGTTATTGTGACATTGCACCGTTAGGTTGGAGGCCATTGCTATTAGGTTGGAAGCCATCACTAGTAGGTTGGAGGCCGTCGCTATATTCGATTGTTTGCTTCTTTTGTGTTCTGATCAGTTCATGTCTTGTCATGTGTGATTGGTGTTGTCAGCTGGCAAAGTGCACCGGTGCTGGTGTCAGCTGATTGTGCGCGCTGTGGAGGCTGCGCAAGCTGCGTACATTCTTGTTCCAGCCAGTCGCATGTCAACAGGTTGTGGGACTCTGCCTAGCTATCTGGGTCTATGCTGGTGTAATAATTTGGTTATGTTGTTTGCCTTGCTGGCAGGAAGCCTTCCCGGAAGGACGCATACATACCCTCAATTTTTCTCCCAAGGAATCCGACATGGAGGCAAGGTTCTAAATCGACTCAATCAATCAACCAACGAACCAATCAATCAACCAATCAATCAATCACTCAATAAATCAATCCATTCCTTCAATCAATCAATCAATCAATCAATTTGCATGATGTTGTTTTTGGCCAGGTCAAACGGTTTAGGAGGAACGCTGATGAACACCTGGTAAGATACTTGCTGAGAGTTTAACATTGAATGGCGGTGGCTATTGAACTTTGCAATCTACTACTTTCTCCACAGCCTTGTCTGAGTATGTTTTTGCTTGGCTATGAATGAGTTGTGTTTATTCCTCAAATGCAGCGCTACTTGTTAGGAGGGTATTTTGTCTTCGCTGCGATAGCATTTCCATATGTGTTTACACGTGTGTTTTCCGCATTTTGTCTTGGCAGGGTAGAATCTATTGTGATATATTGTGCAATGTTTCGTTGCGAATGCATTTTGCTAAGGCCTGCTTTCGGGCTGAGTGGCCGCATTTCTTAAAACGGCAGCGTATCGTACGAACGACATGTACAAAAACCGACAACGGGTGCATACGGATGTACATGCCATGTGCGCACTCATGCAGATGTACATGCCATGTTAGCTACATACACACGTATGTTATTAACCCCCCCACCCCCACAAACCAGTGCGTATGTGAAATGTGCCAAAAAACAAAAATTATTGTGAAAAGCAAATTGTGAAAAAAACGAAAATAAGAGAACACTGCAAATTATGTGGTAGAAGAATCTACGGTGTTGCCATGTAGATGGTAAAACATGTTGTATTTTACAGTGACAATGAAAACATGTAGACGGTGATGATGTTGGTCCCAACATGCATGCTATCATGCCCGCACTGGTAAAATGCGCGCGCCTACACGTCCGGTTTTCATGCCGTTTGCAAATTCATGTATTGATTGAGGTTAGGCGCTATGGTTCCTGTTTGGTCTTAGATATCAAACATCCTTTAATACCCAAGCCGGTTTGGCACAAATGGACTGAACCAATGTATTGTCCCTCCTCTTTGACATTCCGCTGATGCATCTTTAGGCTGAAAGAAAAGGACGGAGTAAATGGTATGATAACCTTTTCATTCGTGAGGTTTGACATTATGAAAAAATGTATGAACACTTCACAGATAAACACATCATATAAATGTGACAAGGAATTCAACCGTGATGGATAATTCAATGCTATGATTATAAACCAACCTCTTCTATCCATAGCGAGAGATGAGCTGAACGATACAAACAAACTGGTGCTTCCCACATTTTTTGCTATCTGGGGTCTATGCTGGCGTAATTTTGTTTGGGGGTTGATGTGGGTAGAATGGGAAGAGAGGAGGTGGGGGAATGGGAACTCGGGTGAGAGTTCTGTAGTTCACGGTTCCAATTCGGCAACAAGAAGTCTAGAAGAACCAGAAGAACGATCAACCTCTTGCAGGAAATGAACACACTGATTGGGTCAAACCCCATTCTCCTGGACGTCTGACACTTGCAGGTACCGCTATGGTGTCCACACCATTGTGGCGCTGGGTGGCACAGGGGAGCGATGGGTGGAGCAGACGGGCGATGGATTTCGGCTTGCTGGGTGGAGATGAAGAGCCAACAAACTAAACCAAATCGTGACCTAAGCGCAAAAGTCCCACGGCTCTAGAGTTGGGTGTCTGAAACTCCTTGTTTAGGAGTTTAGGATACAAGGCTTTCCTGGTCAAACACTCATGTGTGGGAGACCATGATCTCGTTCCTGCTTGAGACTCCATTCCGGAATCTTAGGTCATGATCCAAATTCAAATTGCCAGGTACAAGATGTGTTGTTAGTTCTTTGTAGAGCTTGACAAGTCAAGTCCCTGCCAGGTCATGTCTTCTCATAGGCCGCAAGTCCCGCGCCTCATCCGCCGATTTTCTTTGTTTTCGTTCCAGTTTCCAAGGACCGCACCGTTTGAGGTCAGAGTCGTCCTCAAAATCGTCCGTTCTCTTTCACCAGTCGATGCCGCAAGCGTTTCGGCGTGAGATGGTGTGAACTTCACGGGTTTAGCGGACGTCGTGAGAGGAGGTTCTCAAGTGGAGCAGGGAGGGAACTGATGGCGGAGAGGAGAAGCTGCCAGCTTCCATCTCACACGGTGTGCTGACATGTGCTAACTGGGGCGATGAGTAGAGAAGAAATGTGAAGAAGAGCGATTGCCTGGCACCAACTCGCCGATTTCTTAATGACTTATTCATTCTCCAGAGACTGATGCCCTGCTGGTGCCAGCCACTTTCTGGTACTTTTTCAGGACCCATCCGGCTCATCAGGGCTCATCGTCGAAATGCCGTCGTTGTTGGATGATCTGGTGGAGGAGGGGCTAGTGATGTTGAGTTGCATGGCACTGAAAATGCCACTTGGACTGGCTGCAAAGCGAGAAGAGGCCGAAACATTAAAGCACCTACTGGTCACCAGCTACTTTGGCTCGCCGACAACGCCGACGTAGAGGCACAGGCCTTTGATGGCCTTGGCATTTACGTCGGCCTTGGTGGTTGATTTGGTGAGACGGACGGGTGATGATGAGTTGCATGTCACTGAAAATGAAGAGGCTGAAAAATGTTGAAGCGCCTACTGGTCACCAGCTACTTTGACCATGCCGACGTGGAGGCACAGGCGAAGTTGGTTTCGAGCGGTTCTCGACGGATCCAGGTCTTGGCTCGCAGATGCCTGGTGGCCTGGTAAGTTGTGTGCCCTTTATGCAGACTCTAGCTGCCATGTGCTGCAGGAGCGTGACATGACAAGAGTCCAAGTGGGCAACCCTTTTGTCACGTAACCAATACGTACTAAGAGCTGCGATGGAATCCACGAGAAATACGTACAGGCAACCCTTTTACCAGGTTAAGGTAGCCACCAGAAATACCAATCTGGTTCTCACCAAGAACTTTGGTGTTGGAATACGTACTAAAGATTCTGTAGGTGGTGGATGTTCTCTGATTGGCATGGAGGGGAAGAGGACACCAAACAGATTTGTATATAGGCCTAGGCTATTACAATCTTAACTTATTACAAGTCTCTCCAAACCTCTTAGGCCAGAGATGAGACCTTTAGTCATTCAGCCTCATGAGGTGTCCTGGGCGGTTGAATGACTTCCTGGAGGGTGGCCAGGTGCGCTTGGACGCCGCCCGGGCCCAAGACGCCGCCCGAAGACTGAAGGCGCTCGCAGACTTCGGGGGTTTCAACCTGGGCTCAGCGGTCTTGGTAAAGAATGATCACATATATTTTGGAGAAAGGCCTGATATACCCAAGCATCATAATTGTTACAGGAAATATTATACCCAATCAATACATACATATGGTCATATGTGGTCACAGCTGTTTGGCATGTGATCCACATCTTGGAGATGGCTTTGTCAAATCATAAGTAGACCACAGGGGTAGTTGACCTTTGACCAGTTGAAGGATCATTTTCAGGCAGATGGTGGCGTTTGACCGGCCAGCCACTTCCAGCTGCTCGAACACCGACCACGGCACCGGTCCCGAGGTCTCTTGCTTGGTGTTGGATGAGGCCGACCGCATGCTTGACATGGGCCGCAGCCCGAGACGACCGCACACCATTGGCCATAATCACCCACGAAGACATGGACGTTTGGTTCTCCAAAATCAATTTCAGACGAGCCACGAGCCCAACCGTTACTCCGTATCTTTTCAACATTGGTCAGGGGTTGTTTGACATTTCTCCATGCATTTCGAAGTGAGTTTTTGGCACGGAATCCGTTTTAAAGGAGCACGAAATCCTCTACACATTCCACGTAGGGAATTGGACAGCATGTGCCATCCCGCTATGTTCCTGGGACCTCCTCTCTCCGAGCAGATCAAGGTTTTGAGCCTCAGATCCGCAAGATCTTGGCCAGGCAGCTGGGTGGTGAAGTGGGGGGGTGAACTGAACTGATGATTTCATGGAAGTTGGGGGTCTCAAGTCTCAAGTCAACTGCCCCGTTTCCAGGAATGGGTAGTTCTCTAACTGCCGTCCGGCGTAAGGAATTGGTGGTCTCAACGGATGCCTGCAGGCTCACGCTGAGTCTTTGACGGGAAGGATGAAGACTGCTGGTTCAGGCATGACCTAGATTTCACCTTCAGCCCCCAAACTTTTGAGCCCCAACCCCACAAACCACCTTCGTACTTCGTTCGTTGCCAAACCACCTCAGCCGGATTCACGCCTCGTGCTCCGTTCCGGACCCGAGCGTCGCGCCGGTCGGCCGCGCAGCGTCGGCCGTCGTGGTTTGACGTCGCCGCGCGTCGCCCGCGGCGCCGGTGTCGGGGGCTCCATCGGGATGTCGTCCGGTTCCGAGGATCCCCCGGAATCGACACACGATGTTCTTCACGGCGACCTGGCCAAAGGAGGCCCGCCCGGCCGGCGCGGCGACGTCCGGGGCTTTGCGACACGGTCTGAGACGACGACCGGTCGACCGCGGTCTGAGACGACCCGAGACGCTCGTTTTGGGCCCAGCGCGGCGTCCTAACAGGTTCAACATGGGTCAACCGGTTGCCTTGGATTCTTGGGGAGTTGAGGTTTTGGGTTGACAGGAGCCAAGTTGCAGAGGAGTTTTTGGTTCGGGCATGGCACCATAGAAATGGTGGATGGGGGTCGAGCTAAGGCAGTGAGAAGATGGTGACACAGGCTGAGTGTGTAGTGAAGAGATGCACTTTTGGGCCGTTAGACCGTTTATCAACCTGAATAGCAACACTGATGCCTAGCGGCCTAGCTGCCTAGCTTCTTGTGGGGTTCACCCTGGTGTGGTTGCCTGGAAGGTTGGGATATGTTATGTGGGGACAACTTGCGAAGTTTTGATCTCGATGAGTTCCAGTTGATTTCGAACCGGTTTGTCATCATCTTCACCTTCCATGACCTTCCAGGGCCTTCCCCAAGCTAGCTTGGGGCTAAAGCTTCGCAGCTTCGCAGCTTGCCGACTTCTCCCGAGCCACGAGCTGATGATCTCAGTCACTTCACGGCGTCACGAGCCCAACATCGACACGGGAAAGGCTTTGCTGTCTTCATCGAAAGCATCGACAGGTTCGAAACCTCGCGGGCGACATCCTCTACCATCCCTACAAGGCACTGATCTGTGGGGTGGGAGTGAGAAGATCCTGTGAGTGGGGTGGGATTATTTATATACCTTCAAATCATCAAGTGATATCAAGTCAATTTGAGATAGATGAAATGGTGTCAGCGAGCTACATTAAGAAAAGGATAACACAGTTGCAGCAATTCTCCAACTCTGTTTTGTTACTTCTGTTATATTTTTGCCAAACCGCATTATTACACACACACACACATATATATATATATATACATTGATATATGTATATGTTTGCTGTCATTTTGTTATCATTATATATCATTATGATATCCCCTGCCGAAAAAAACCTTATAGAATCTGGGAGGTCAAGCTCAAAATGACCATCAGATTTTATAGACAGCTTTTCTCTAGAATGAGATTTCAACCCACCTGAAAAAGCTAGCCTAAAAACCTGTGCTTTCACAACTTTCACAGGTTGATTTTTCATGATGCCCAATAGGTTGAGCTATTCCATGTTATAGAGAACGCATGAAAATGCACCAGATGCGATTTCCGGTGCGATGCTAGATTTTAATTGTCCAATCATCCCTCTATAAAATCATGTTGTTTTACTCTCCCGTTTTTTTTACGTATCCTTTAAACGCTTTTTCTTTTCTTTTTGGTTAAGTTAGGTGACCTGGAAGGTCAGATCCATGAGCAGGACACGTTAGCGATTCAAAAGTTTTTTTTGGAAACATGTGATTTGGACAGGTTAGCTGCTTAGAGGTCTTTGGCTTGCAATGTGATCCTGGGAATCTAGACTAAACTCATTATCAAACATCCTGGTGTGGGATACTGAGCGTTGGCAAGTGAAGTGCTGGTGTCCCGCAGAAGTGTGGCTCCCTTGCTTTGGTGTCTTGGTGGACATGTTTGCGTGGACAATGCTAACATGTCCGTTTACGAATACAATGCTAACATGTCCGTTACGAATTTAAGACACCCTAAGATTTTGCCAAAAAAAGAGCTAACATAGCCCGTGACAAAAGTGGGCATCTCTTCTGTGATGGGACAGGTTAGCAGTTTTTCGAGGCATGTTGGGTCGTGTTCAAAATCATTATGATACCGTTTTCTCCGGTTATTCCCCAGGAAATACCGCTCTAGAGCTGAACATGTTAGGGACTAGTCCCAAATGCACCCCGGGACATGTATATCTGGAAGAGTGTAAACGTTGACTTTTTTTGTTATGATTTTTCTGCTTATATAACCTTCCTAAAATTAATTTCGACCCTGCAGTTTCCATAAGCATGCCTCTATAAAATCACAATCAACCCCTTGTGCCTCTTTTGTCCAATCATTTTCCAGGATAACATTCAACCTTCATATTCCCCCAGTTCTCTATAGAATCAACCTCAACCTTGGATGTGTATCATTGCTTTTCCCAAATTGGGGCATCAATAATCATTGAGGAAAATAATATATATGCTCATAAGGTTGAGCTGAACCACTTTATCGAGAACAGATTCTCAGGACTGCAAGGGTTGAGGTTTGATTCTACAGTGGGGCAATTCATCACTAAAACATCTAATTCCCGGCATTCACCGGCAATTCCACAGAGGATATTATGATTATCTATCAATACATGTCATAATTTTTCGATTTCGTAGACTGGTGATGCGACGCGTTAAATCACAGACGAGCTGCAGCGGCGGAACGTGACTGACGCACCAGGTCATGATTGGGAACCGTGATGAGCTGAAGGGAAATCAGGAGCCGAAGGGATGAATTTCAGACCAGCCGAATTGTGTGCTTTTCATCTTTTTGGATTATGTGCTTTCAGACCAGCCAACCTGTTGCAGATTCAATCTTTTGCTATGTACATGCGGCTTACGCACAGAGCTTTCACCTTCTACCTACCGTTCCTGCTGGCTTGTGGGAGGCATTTCTTTTTCTTCCGGCGCTAAAAAGAGACACCGGAGGACATCATCCAGCAGATCAGGTTTGTGGATGGCTACGACAAGGAGCCCTCCCCCGGTGTTCCGAGCGACGAGTTCCGCCCCATGAGTTGACGGCCATAGAGGAAAGTGATGCAGGATGGGAGGCGATGGGAGGAGGGGGCATCGCTACTAGGAGCAAATGGAATTACTAGGGGCTCCTGGCCATACTACTATTAACAAGAAGCTACTAGGAACAATCCTTTTAGCCGATATCCCATATCTCCGAGGAATCGAACCGCGGCCATCGACCCGTTCGACGCGCCGTGGTTCGAGCGCGCGAGCGCTGGAGCGAGCCGTGATGCGCCGTGCGGGTTGGAGCGGAAGGGGTGGAGGAATTCGGACGAGCAACGGTTGATGCACTTGTTACTAGTAGCGATGCACTTGTTTCTAATAGCTTCTTGTTACTACTAGTAAGGCACTTGTTCCTAGTAGCGATGCACTTGTTACCAGTAGCTTCTTGTTCCTATAGTAATGCCCTTGTTACTAGTAGTCGGTTTTCAGCAATGTTGGTCACATTGATAGAGACACAGAGCGACGGACACATGAGAGGCCCAAGACACCAAGCCATCCATCGTCCGACCTTCCAGGGGGAACCTTGGCTTGGTCGGGGGTTCCTTGTTTGCTTACCAGAGGGCGAATCAAGATTTTCTACCTTAGGACAGGACAATGATTGCAAACACTATTCGTCCTTCCCCGCCGCCATCACCCACACCAGGCGGTTCATCCATACCCTTCGGTCGCGCGCGCTTCCGGGTGCCGGCACGGGCGTACACAGTACGGAGCCCCTTCCGGTGGAGAACCATGCCCGACGACCGGTGGCATTCGCGAACGTTCCAGAAAGGCACCCGGTGGAAACACGCTCGGGGTTCCGGAAAGGAGCATCAGATCGTCGAGCTGCTCAAGGAGGCGATTCGGGTCAACGGGTGAGATGGGAAGACGAAGGACGACCTCAGAGAGGAGGCTTTAAAAAAGCGAGAGACAGAGAGACGGAGGAAGAATGTCTTAATATGAGCTCATATACAAGTTTAGTCTATTTTAGTATGGTCACAATTTGTGGAAAGGTCTGTTCTTGAGATATGTTCATTCTGGGTACGTGGATATTGCCAAGAACGAGGCCGGACATCAATTTCTTTCTTTCAGTGAAGTTACAGACTTGTAACGGGGCGTGTCACCTCTTCATAAGCCGAGACCCGACCCTGCCTTTGAGGAATGACACAGAGCCTGTCAAAGCCTGGAACCCGACCAGTCCCATATAGGAAAAGCATTCCGCCGGTAGGTCAACATCATCCCAGGTCATTTGAGTCGACTGGACCTGCAGAGCCTCCCGTTCGTGGGATCTCCCGAAGCTCGCGCCGAACTTGTCTCCATTTTCACATGGGGTGTCTTCTGGTGGAGTTTCCAGGTCTCCAAATGGATTGAACAGTGGCATTTTCCCAGACGTGACTAATGGGACTGCCATAGGACTGCTGATCAGGCCAGAGGTGGTGCCAGGGGGGTCCATGACACCGGCCGTCCGATCCCATGGGGCGCTGGAACCGTCCAACGAGACGGCCACGCCGGGGGTTGTCTGCAGGCTGGCCTTATGGACCGCTACAGCAACGGCAAGGCGGCGCCGGCGGAGCCGGCGCTGGCGGCGGAGAAGCTGGTTTCTCGGTGAGACGACGACATAGAGAATCTATTGAGATATTGCCTTATGGCTGAAACACAATTCTTTTTCCACCTGGTCAGGCGTGGTTTGTCAGGGGCAACTAGCACAGTTTGTATGCTTGGAAAGCCACCAATTTCAGCAGAAGATAGTCGTGAGCGGGTTAGGAGTCTTGGACATCTTCAACAATTTTCATTTGGGTGCGTGATCCAACAGCATAAAACATCGTGAACCATCCGAACTTCTCTCGGCGTCGTGTGCTGCAGCTCGGAACCGCCGGAGCGGAACCGCCCGCCGCCGCGGGACGGCCTCCGGCGGAGGCGCTGGTCTTCGCTGGCACGAAGCGCGAGTGTGAGCGGCCTGGGACCTCGGTGCGCGCTTCTGGGCCGTGGGACAGGAGTGGACAGTGCGCGAGTTTGGAGTCATATGTTTGAAGTAATGTACTTGTGAGTAGAAACACCCAACAACTCACTGGTAGGTTCCAATGAAGCATTCTATTCCCCTTGGATGTGCGTGACAGTAAAATCGATGAGGAGAGGACATGCACGATTCTTTTTCTGATGGCTTCGGCCGGATGAAGCTTTCCCATCACTCGGCTCAAGCCTGCAACAGACTTGCCAAGCAAACGCAATTGAACAGGGCTACTACTTTGTTTCGAGATGACAAGGATTGGTGGAGGGGTTCTCATTTCGGCTTCAGTCCAAGACCTTTCCGATTCGCGAACCGGAAAGACGAGAAGGACCCTGTTTGGTTCCTTGTCAGTTGAACCAGGCCTAATGTAGACTATATACTTGGCAGCTCTGCCGCTCTGCCTCCTTTGGGGGGCACCCCAGTCTCCGGCGGAGAGGCGTTAAAAAATGACCGGGCATGTCCCTCATTGGATTCTCCTTTCGTCAATTGTCCATAAGGGTGTCGGGGGATTCAATCCTTTCAAGCTCAGTGTGATCCTTTGATTGGAAGGAACCTTTTCATCCATGGCCTCCGAAGACATCTTGGGACTTTGCCTGAGGAATCATGGGACACTTCCAAACTTCTCTAAGTTGAGAAAAACAACAAACAAAACATTTGGCTGGCCAGCCCAGTGGTGGACATCGGCACAAAACGAATATCCATTCCTTTAGCTCAAAAGCTCACAGGACGTTGTACCATGTTGTACCTGTTGTGGTCCTTTTTTTTTCTGTCCTCAATGGAGGACGTCTCAGGGCCTGCCGGTCGCCGTTCTCGGAGCCTTTCTCGAACATGGTAAGACCATGGGTCCAGGCAGAGCCACCAAGCGGGTTGATGAAGTTCTGGAAACCATGGGGATGGGGATCCCTTAGCTTGCTGGTAGCAAGCTAAGCAGCTCTCCCAAGTGGTCCGGTACTCTTGAGACGTGGTGCACTTTGCACATTTGGCCACTCGTTTCTTGATTCTGGGTCAGCCAGTCATTTTGATTCCCGCAAAGACCGAGGCTGTCCAACAACCTCTACCGCGCCGGGGTGCCTTGCTCCTCGATCCACGGAGACAAGGACGGCCGGCCGCGTGGAAGGTCGGACACTTGGAAGAGGACCTCGGTATGTCGGACTTGGAGTGGACTAGGTGAAGGTACACCACATACCCCCTATTTCATCCTATTTCCCTGTAGACTGTTGGGAGTGGACCAGGTGTACAGAGTCGAGATCATAAGTTTGTCGTTTCAGCATGCTCTTCATTCTTCTCTGTGTGGCCAGCACCTTCTGCCCAGAAGTTTGTTGCTGGCGGTTCGAATCATACATGAGGCATGCGCCAGGAGACAGAAGCAACGTGAAGCCGCCTGGGGAAGGATGAGGCAACAGACCTAAGTGTTGTAGAATGGCTGCATAATAAACAAAATGGACAACAAGCCCCTTGCACAGGATGTTCATGATGTCTTGTTCTTCTCTGTGTGTGGGAGTGTTTCTGAGTGAGGACTTTGAGTGAAAGATAAGATTTAGGAATCTGAAGCACGCCGCTCAGGTTTGTACAAACCCTTACAATGGACAAACTCTTTCTGAGTTCTGAACCGGACTCCACCGGACTCCGCCGTTGTCCTGGGCCTTTCCTGGGCCGTTTTTCCCTGCTCCACCAGGACCAGCGGGCGCGCGATGAAGCCCTCGGTGGCTTGAAGAACGGCCGCCTCAAGGCGCCACGGCCGGAGACGACCGGTGACGCCTGGGATGGTGGTGCGTACTACTAGGAGCAAGAAGCTATTAGCTTCTTGTTTCTATTAGCTTCTTGTTACTACTAGTAAGGCACTTGTTACTAGTAGCGATGCACTTGTTACTACTAGGGGGAGTTGGTGGTGGAGGATGGGCATCTCAGAGATTGTGAGCTTCGTCGCCTGAGTTTCATCTGAATGGTACTAGGGTGCTGAGAATCATGATGTCGTGGAGTGAATAAGAGCAAGGACTTAATGAAGGGTTCGCTCTGATACATATAAAAGATATACTAATAACTAAATAGTAATATATATATATAAATAAATAAATCAATCCATAAATAAATAAGAAAAACAATATATATATCAACTGTTTTTCTTAGAACATGGTCTATTGATTTTCGGGTTTGCGACTCAGCCCTAGTAGCAGTCTTGTGTGCAACATTGTTTCAACCGATAAGGGACCAGTGGTCGCCTACACTAAGTCTGCACGGTCGCAGATCGACACCGGAACAATTCAAGTCATCCCAGACGAGTCCTTTGAGCGTTTTCCCTTTGGTTTTGAACATTTTCCAGCAACCCTCAACGTCTTCTGTCTCTGCAGGGTTGGGACAAACCAATGAAGCCTAGATATGTCATTTGTCTTGTTTGAGCTGGGGAGGGTGGAAGTCCTGACGCTCTAGCAGCCGCCCTGCCCAGAATTGGATTCTGATTTTGCAACTTAAGGGATACGACCGCCTTTCAATAAAGGGGGTTGTCCCCCGTCGTTTGTGTTTGTTCCTCTGTTGGGTTTAAACATCAATCAAGCATCCTCCAAATTCACAAATGGGCAGTAACACAGATGCTTCCAGTTGTTGCTTGCTTCCTGAAAAGCTGGAGTTTTCATTTTAGAACACAAAAAACACACACATAAAACATCCCTCGAGTAGATGACCCCCGAGTTCCTGGTTCCAGTCTCAGCTGCATGTCTTGTCGACGTGGCATGTCCCTCCCGGTAGGTTCTGGTGGCCACAGATGTGGCAGCACGAGGGCTGGACATCAAGGGAGTGCCTCGGAGATCGATTCGATGGGGTGGGAAAAGGATGGGATAATCTTGTTGTGGGGGGTAGCAGGATAGGCAGGATACGTTTTCTGCGAGCAATCTGAGTGGAATGCTTATCGAATTCATATGTTTAAAGATGGCTGGTGGTTGGGGCCAGGGTTGGGGTAGAAAGGGTAGGGTGGAGCAGGGCAGGCGGTAGATGGTGAGGAACAAGTTCAAAGTTCAGAAAAGTCTAAAGATGCTCCCGAATCCTAAGGAGTTGTGGAAAGAGTACAACCCGCCTAAACATTGACCATGCGACCATATCCGTTGGTGGCGAGGGTCGCAAGTCTGACGCGAAGACCATTTTGGAGATGGGAATCACCGCCGATCTGCCGATTCGCTCAGGTTGGTCTTGTGATCAACTACGACGCGGCGAACAACACCGAGGCCGACGACCAGGGAGAGTCAACCACGATGGATGAGTACCCGTCATATGGAGCCTTACGAGTACCTACCCATATGGGTGTAGTACTTATCCATAGGCTAGCATTGAGTCCCTGGAGTAATGTAGGGGTGCTTCTTCATCCATATAGGCACGTCTCATGCTTCGGGCCGACCAGCTTCAAAGGACCCCCGTGCTTCAAAGGACCCCCCGTGCGATGGCAGCGATGACCTGTCCGCCTTTGTCGCACAATTGATATAGAACCAACCATCCAGTCGTCTGGATGATCGCTTCCTGCATGAGCTTCCCGACTGGATGATCATCCGGCAACCCACACGTATCGACATCCCGTGTGACAGATCAATGGGATCAGGTTTCCTGCAGATCAATGGGATTAAGGGATCAAACAGTTTTCCATGGCCGGTTTTTCTGTTGTTTGGTGTTCTTTTGTGTGGGGATCTCAGTCCTCAAACAACTGTCTAAAAGCATGTCTTGAAGCTGCCTTTCCACTCTTCTGTCCACGGGGTTCTCCACTCTTCTTTTCCCGATTTCCCGGTTTGACCAGGGACCGTCGCACCGGCCGGGTGGGCGGTGGTTCCCGCTGTTTCCACAGCCGCGCGGTCTCCACCGGTCTGATGCACCGAGGACTACGTGCACCGCATCGGCCGCACCGGCCGCGCGGGGCAGAAGGGCTTCGCAGCCGCTCGGAGGACCTCGGCTCGGGGGTCGGGTGTCGTGTGTCGCACCGGTGGGGCGACCGGTCGGTCGACGGTTAGGGTTCGGAGCGAAGAATGAGACATGGTCAACCTACCAGGGTGAGTTCGATGGCTCCGGGTTGATGGCTCCCACAGCCATCGAGATTGGCATCGGATGGGGATGCCAAAGACTTGGTTTTTAGAACCCTCCAAGGGAGGGGTGGTTCTTGGTCTACAATCACCAGCAACTTCCAGAGGTTTACAGCGCGACGCGAGCTCGAGCCTGAAAACCGTGTTGGGTGAAGCAGCAGGTCGAAGTGAAGCAGCATCTAAGCAACCGGGAAAGGAAGCCATTGGTTTACAACCCGCCAGTACCATTGGTTTGACGAGTCACCAACAGTACCGACCTATGACCTGACAGTACTGACAGTACAGCACGGTTAGACCTGAGAGTGAGAGCCTCTCTGTGGGACACATCCTGTAAGCAGTTCGCTTCTTCGGCGAACTGCGTGGGTTAGGTCTTCTATTGAGAACAACTGTGTCTCAGAGAAAAACATGCCGCCCATTCATGTCCATTCATCATGTCGTTGACCTTCTTCGCAAGGTTGGCCGCCACAAGGACGGCTAAACAGACCCAACGGCCCTTAAAACAGACCCAACGACCCATCGAATTCAAAGGATTCTCGCGTTGACTGCAAAAGAAGGGAGCCCAGCGAATCGAACGAGCCGTCTCCACATGGTGCGGCCGTGTCCGCAGTCTTCGGGCTGCGGAACTGAGGTCACCTTCTTGGACAAGAGACAAGATGGGGGTAAAGCGAAAGGCATCATGGAGGCTGGGAGAGTGGGAGCTTCGGCGGAGCTTGGGAGGAGGTAGGTGGAACAGGTTTGTGCCAATTGTGCTGGGGGTGTTTTCAGGTTTGTTTTCAGGTTTGTCGAAAGCGTGATCATGCGAGTGGCGAGGGGAGTTCAAGGTGCCCTGTTTGTGGACTCCGTAGTCATCAGAGTTTGATGCACGACCAGCGACCACAGGAAGAAGATGGAAGAACTGTCAGACTGGACTGGAACGGTACACTTTGAGAGTTCTCAGGTACTCTCTGGGAATTTCAGAGTAGATGGAACAACCAGCTATGCCAGATCCGCACAACCCATGTCTTGGGTTTTGTGCAATGTACTCCAAATCACTAGTCCCTCTTGGTCCTTTCCATGGAATTCTCCGCATGACCAGCCCAGACCAAACGATCTTCTAAATCTTCCTATGACCTATTCGTTTGTACAAGTCCGGTTCCTGTTCCCTTTCCAATTCCCATGAAGCAGTTCTTCCTCCAGCGTTTCTTGTTCTTGCTGTCTGCTCCTGTCTGCTCCATCACCGGCAACCCATTGAACTTCGGTGAACACGTTCGTTGGCTCCAGGTGATGAAGAGGACGAATCAAGAGGTTCCCTCAGAACTCTATGACATGGCGCCTTGTCCACCCCAGCTGGTCCGTTTTTTGGACGCGCGAGGGGTTGAGCGTAGCATGCTTTCCAGGGATACATTCTTTGTTTGGTCCGCCGTTTCGGTCAACGAAACGGTGAAACGGTGAAACGGTCCTGACCTGGCCGACACGACCTCCTTCCCGACGGACCGACTCGCTACCGGCGATCCCGAAGCCCAAAGCGAGTAGCTGAGAACTTCCCGCCCCAGATCCAAGAAGGGGCCCATCTGTCTCTAGGAGTTAAGAAGGGAATGAATCCAGACCAGGCGTTAACAGTCCTTAGGTTCATAGGCCCCAGATATCCAAGAAGGGGCCCAAGGAATCCCAGGCGAGCCACTGTGCCCCATCGGTGAACCCTTGATTTGTAATTGGGGCAGTGGATTCTTAAGGAGCACAGGAAAGACACGACCATGAAGGTAAGTCATCGAATCGTCAGTCAATAGTCTTTCTACGTGACAGGAACTAAAGAGGCACAAGGGAAAAGCGTGGGCAAAATTCACCACTTGTAAGGAATTTTGCTACCTTAGGACCTTTCCCTCGCTTACAGCCGCCGTGTCTGACTGGGCCCCTTCTTGGATCTGGGGCCTATGAACCCAAGGACTGTTAACGCCTGGTCTGGATTCATTCCCTTCTTAACTCCTAGAGACAGATGGGCCCCTTCTTGGATCTGGGGCGGGTGGAGAGGATTGGAGGTGAGAGTGAAGGGACATGAATTTTATAGTTGTAGTTCTTATAAAATTCATTGGTATACGTCCTCCAAGCCTTTCAATCACAGAAATTCCAAATTTCTTTGGTGCGACTGGATGGATTCGTGCCTTTAAGAGAACTGACACCAGCTGCATGGCCCTCATTGTATCGGAATGTTGGACTCATTGGGGTTACTTGGTTTCAGAGAAGATTCGGCAGCTTCAGAAGGCGAGTTTCAGCATGACTCGCAGTGACTTGAGTGACTTGCCGATTAGCTTATATATGATATATGGTTGGTTGCACACCACTAAGAAGGTGGTTTCAATGGATTTATGATCCATCCAAACAGTTCTCTGGTGCTTTCGCCTGGAGCTGAAACACCGGCAGAAACTGAGAAGCCCGGTCACACGTGAGCGACCGAGGCCAGACTTGGAGGAAAGGATGACAGATCACGATGGAGCCCGGAGCTTGGATCATGCTTTTTGGTTTAGTTCATATTTGGTTATTGAACATGTCCATCCACCAAATCAACGGACAAAAACGAATGGCAGGTTTGACTCTGAACTTATGACGAAGGGGTTGCCATGGGGTGCCCGAGGTTCTTTTTTCATTGTTCCTTAGCCAGACGCATATGTCGGACATTGTCAAACAAGATTTGTCCCTTTACAACGCTCATTATCCTGATTGAAGAGGATATCTCCGTTCCCTAATACCCAGAGCCCGGGGAGTTGACGAATGTCAGATGTCAGATCAATGTCCTGATCCTGATGATCTTGAGCAACCGTTTTGATTGTGGCCCCAATATGCCCAATCTACTTAGCTGCAAATCGCATGGGAAGGACGGACATTTCCCTGTCTCACAGATGGAGTTGGACTTTTGATCGGTCTTTTTTCTCATCTGCCATTTCCGACCCAGACTCGTTGGTTCCCAAACCAGGCAGTACATTGTTCGGTCAGGTTCTCGTTCTTTGTGGTGTTTCTCGTGGGTTTTCAGGTGGCCGTGGCGGCGGCGGTGGCGGTGGAGGAGGATGGAAGAATGGTGGAGGCGGCGGAGGCCTGCAGAGTCCACAGGAGACGGACGGGATGGTGGTGGTGGTGGTGGTGGTGGTGGTGGGTCCATTTGGTTTTTGGTGGGGCCGTAAACAACTTTGGTGTTCTTTTTGTGGGAGGATCAGTCATCCGAAGTGGTGTTGATGGGGATCTCATTCCAACCGAGTTGGTATCATTGATATCAGTCATCTGACTGGGCGAGGGGATAACTGGAGTAGTTATCCGTGCTAACTACCAAGTTTGAGCCCAACCCAGAAGAGAGATTTGGGATTGCGGTAAGAGCGACTGAAATGATGCAGGAATGGAGGACGGTTTAATGGGTGATGCACGGCCCTGACTAAACAGACGTGTACAACAATACACCTATACAACTATAAATACAGCATTCTCTTCACAAATATTCAGAATAATTAGGTAGAAAGAACATTCGCTAAACCAAAGGCGACCACAAATTCATACAAATTCCTGTAAATATTTTGAAGCCTATGACGAGACGAGCAAACAGCAGGATCGTACCGAGATGGGTCACTGGGCCAAGGATGGCTGACTCACCATAGCTTGGTCCCATTACATGCATTGGCAAACAATGGTCACTACGCATTTTGGAGAACGGCCTGCCACCTAACCATCATCATCCACTGTTACAGGGAAATAGGATATGCCCATAGCCCATAGCAATCTCTGGATGTTTCATCCTCCCACACGTCAAAAACGCCTCTGTGCAGGTAGCTGGAACTTCGTGCGATGCCCCAGTGCTGGTGTGGTCAAACCACGTCCGACCAAAACACGGTCAGCGCGGTCAGAAGGTCAGAGATCGAGGAGACGTGTCCGAGACCGCGCGCTAGGGATCCCATGAGTTGGACCGTGCCGTGACACGGAGCAAGCGAGCAGTTCTCGCCTGTCCGTGTCCTCCGGCAACTCCTCCTTGCAAAAGTGAAGGGATGCCCCCGTAAAGCTAAGGCATTTCATCGCACGAATCATCGATTGATCGGGTCTGCAAGCATGACCACTCTTGGAATTTCGCAACACTCCAAAGATAAAAGGAGTTCCCCCCCTCTTCTCGAGAGCAACATCCAAATGCATTTCACCATATTTCACCTCATTTCACCCTTCATCGATTTGGCTCCTGCGCCAAGCCCGCACCGCTCGGGCGGCTCCCCTGGGACCCCTCGGACCGCACGTGACCCCCCAGGGGAGCCGCGGCCGCAGCCGTGGGGCCCGACCTGTTTGCGCGTCCGATCCGCCGGATCCGCCGATCGAGACGCACCGGGGACCGGTGAAAGGGGGATGATGGGGGATGGGGTTACAGGGCAATGGTTTGGGGAAGTCCTTGGCTGGGGTTACTTGGACAGATAGGCGGACAAGACTTCAGGAACTGAACGGAATACACATGTCAACCAAAGCCCAAAGGGCAACAATGTTGAATTTGTTTGTCAGGGATGGTCAGTAATTATGCCATGCAAAACGCCTGTTTGAAGTTGCATGCCAAATGGATCAGCGACCGTATCACCTTCTTTCCCCCTGGTCTCACAAGGGTTTGGAAAAAGGCCACTCCTTTCGATTCTTCCCACCGGTATTGGCCATCACACGTTCTGGCCAGTCTTGGTATGTTCATGTTTTGTGGGCCCACCCAGTAAACTCAGTAAGCAACCGATGTTCTCCAGCACACGATGTCAGCAGAAAGAGAACACCACAACCCGTCGCCTGGCAAGTGGCCAGGCAGCCCTCGTCGTTGGTGAACTTGAACTGCGCCGCGACGCGCCGATGTTAGCTTAGACTCGGGGGGCCTCCATTCGGGTGGATTTGCATGTCGGGTCCAGCAGGTTTAACAATCCAAACAATCCACCCTGAGATCCCAGCCAGTGAACCATCGAAAGGACTGAACCAACCGAGACGATCCTGTAGCAGATGGACGCGGAATGGAGGATCACCGCCCCCGGAAAATGTATCCCTGATTGGGATTGGCGAAAGTCTGGAAGTTTTGCGAAAACGCCTGCCTCAGCAGGATTGCGGAAGTTCCCTCGTGAACGGCTCATTCAGTAAGAAGTCAACTGAACTCCCAACAGAGGTTGAAGGACCCTATAGACTATCCCATAGGTACCCCAGTAGGGTCCTATAAGGTCACTTAACCTCTCTTGGTTTGCGAACGGTCTGAAGCAGACCAAAGCGATCCAGATATCCAATCCCCTGCTGTCATAGCAACCCACAAGCACACATCACTTGTATTCATTTGTTGGATGAAGTTCGCTGCTCTGCACCCCGTGTCACCATGAAGAGCGCTGGATTTGCCCTGCTGGCAGGTCAAACCTATCCTTGAAAAAATCAGGTTGACATCTCCATGTTCTCCCTCGCCTGCCCGGCCTGCTGTGGGAGATCTCAGCACGACCTGACTCATCCACTTCCAACCTCATCTATCTCCTGGTGGAGCCTCTTCCCCGGCGAGGGAGCTCCCTCCACGTCTCGTTTTGACCGACTCGGACTGCGTGTCCCCAAGCGCCGCCGGTCCCCCCCCAGCTGGGCGGCGAATCGCCGAGTTCGCCTGGGGTGGCGGATCGCGGAGCGTGTCTCTGGCGTTGAAACGGTAAACACCCCGGTTGCATGCATGGCATGGACCCAATAAGCATATATATATATATATATAGCAATCAACCCGAGACAGCAAACATGTGACCTGTGGATCTTCTGACACTTTCTGGAGCTGGTTTCCATCTAAAGCACTGGGATCTTTGAGGAGAGCCTCACCCGTTAGCCATGCGGTTCTGAGTGGGCCCAGGGGGACCAGTCGCACCAGTCACCCCACGATGAACTCCTCAGGGGGGTCGCACGAAGTCTCGGGCGCAGTCTGGGATGGCCTGGACCTGCACACATGTCCAACAAAGAACTACAGCTTGACAGCTAGAGGTCTTTTCTTCAGTGTCCTGACTGGAGATGGAATGTAAACACTCCACGGGATACGGATGATTTGAGAGCGTCATCGAATTTGTTTTATGAAGCTAAGAAAGTTGCAAAGGGTCCTTAACAGAGGGGACTAGCAAATGAGGAAATAAGTTCCAAAAAGGAAGTCGCTTCAGTTGATGGGTTCCCTTCGACATCACTTCTTGGATTTTCTATGAAAAGTAACAGAAGTACTTGGACAGCTGTCCAAAGCCAGAGAAGATCGAGAAGACAAAGATCCTGTTTCGCTCGTGCTTGTCAGCGCATTCCTTGCCAGTGCCTCGAGCAACAGAAAAGGGCGTGATTGAATACCCTTGGGGCACAAGTTGGTTGGATACCCCAACAATAGTGTATCAATGGGACAGACATGGACAGACACTAGCTAGCAGCTAGTGGTTATATATACATATGGGAGGGAGATCTTGTCCCCTTGAAACTTGGAGCCGTGAACGGAGCTACAGGGAGTTCCGAAACCAGGTCAGTGACCACCCCCTTTTTCACACTTGAATTTCGATCCGCTGGGCCTGCAGGAAGCATCTAAGGCTAAGGTTCCTGAAGAAGCTGGGCTTTGATGAGATGAGGGAAGGTGAACAAACCATATGTCTATAGGTCAAAGCCCCCAGCACCCTGGTTGAAAATGAACAGATTCCTCCACAAGGGATGTCAAATGATGTCAAGGTTGACATGCCTTGCTGGAGGAGTTTTTTGACTCACAGCCATGTGTGTTTAGTGTTCGGTGCATTCCTGGTCTCTGGCATGGGTGTCTTTTTTCGCAACCGCAGAGAGACACCCGAGCTGAGGCACCCGAGCGTATTGCATCCCCAAATACCCGAGCCATCGCACGTGAGTCTTATCATAGCCAACAACCAAGGTCGTGCTTGCAGCCAACTACCAACCCCTTGAAAGCCAGTGCTATAGGAGAATTCCACACCGGTTTTCTCCCGTGAAAAGGCATTACAATGTCGGACGTTCGATACTGAAGAGCACGATGGGGTTTTCGTCAACCCGCGTAGGAAACAGCAGGACCGCGATACCGGTCAAGTCCCGATCATCACCGGCCTTCTGAACCGATGGGCTTCTGAAGGGGTCTTCGTTGGCGTTTCGTTTGCGTTGTTTCGTTTCAGGTTCTTCGGGTCATCATCCATCACTTCGTAGGGCTTAGAGGCGTCCGAGGATGTCGACAGTCGGCCACTCGGTGGCCCAATGCATGGAGCTGCTTTTCAATTCGCCGAAATGGAACATGTGCTGAACATTGACTGTTCTTTTCTGGCTTCCAGCTGTAAGTTTTGTCTCACTTCACGCTTGTTGATCCAGCAGCTTGGCAGCGCAGCTTGATCGGGATCGGTTTTTCGTCGGTTCGATGAGGCCCCGTCCGTTTAAGAGTGGGGAGATGGGCCGTCCGTCCAACGGGTGTCGCCGCGTATGACAGCGTGAAGTCGCGGGAATCCGTGGATGCCCTCGGGTGTTTTACTGTTGTTTAAAACCAATTTTTAGCTGGTTGGAAGGGAGCACAGGAGCTGGGGGGTCCATCGAGGACCCCCTTTCAGAGCCAAGCAGGCCAAAAACGAAACATGAAAGCATGCCTGCCTGTCAAGGTTGGTGTCCAGAGTTAACACGAGTCATCCATTTTCCTCGATGCAAACTGCTTGACATTGAAGCTTCACTTTGAGTGAAAAAAGTTTTCGAATTCGCCTCTCCCGAGACCGGGTCCTCCAAGAGTTCTTTCCGCAAGTGACAGCGGTGCCGGAGTTGGTCCCACAAGCGATCTTGGAGGGTCCTTGAAACACGGTTGAGGAAGCGGACAACCACCTGGGTTCACTTCCATGGTCATGTTGGTGAGTCAAGATGTCAACACCTTCCCGGAACATACCCCAGCAACAGCAACTTGAGCCACCCAAGGCTGCAGAGCATGCCATCCAGACCGCTACGAGGTGCGCCACTGAGCTGCTGGTGCTGGGATGGGCTGGGATGCGCTGGGTGCTGGTGTGGAGGTGGTGGACAACATAAGAGTAGAATGAGTCTAGAATGAGTCTATGGGAGCATGTCGAATTCTCTTTCAGCTTGAGAACGCGTGGCCGGCATCGCCATCGACGTCCAGATAGCACGGACTCCTTAGCTCGGACGCCACGGGAGCAACGAATGGAGCCCGGAGGGTCCTGGACGCTGCCGAATGGAGCCCTCCCAGCAACACGTTTCTTTTGTAGATACATAAGCCAGGTAGTCTACCAAACCTCACGAAAGCTCCCTTCTCACGAAAGTAGTTCTCCCAGGTGGAGCCAAACACTCCTTCCTCCCAGGTGTGGTGCTCCTGCTGGCAGCAGTGCTGCTGACCGTCGACTGGAGCTTCGCAGTGCCCAAAGCTACACGAACCAAACTCACCTCGCAGGCGCCGAGAGAGGGCGCCCACCGACCTCGGGACACGAGCGCGTCAAGCGCGAGCACATCGTGTGTAAGAGCACATGGTGCGCAGCTGCGTGAAAACGCGCGGGATGAGTTGGATCAGGGGGGATGAATGGTTGTGATGGCGGTGGTTGGAGTGTGTCATTGGTGGACCCAGGCGGATGGTAGTGGTAAGTGGCAATGTTTGTGACTGAAAGTTTGTATTTCACTCTGACCGTGGTGGTTGCGCTCTGGCGCTTCGTTGGAGGTTGGCGTAGAGCTGGGACAACAGGTGTCTCTCTCGCCTCTCGGCTTGAGCAGGACTGGGTACCCCACGAAACAATGCCTGAGACATTTAAGTGTTGCCTGTTCTGCTGATAATGCCACATGAGTCACATGAGCAATCCATTGAAGACTTAAATAGTAAGGAAATCGTGCAACAAAGTTGGCTGCCGAATGAGAGGGACCAAGCCCAAGAGATGTTTTCACTTCGACTAAACAGGAGTTTTCGCTTGTCACCTCAACAAGCTCCCACCCCCAAAAAACACACGCCACGTTCAGACCCAACGGTCGACTTCCCAGCGCGGGGCGAAGCTTCCCCCGAAACCACACCGAGGCCCGGGAACTTTGCGGGGCGCAGCTTCGGAGCCAAGGCCCAGGAGAAGCCTTGGAGCGGCTCTCGGGGCTGGGGGTCAGGCAGTGAAAGATCATTTTAATGTTTTTTGAGTGAACGAACCACATCATCGGTCAGCAGTTTTTTAAGGGGATATCTTTGCAAAATAAATGGTGGGCATTCGATCTTTACAGTTCTAGAAAATACCATGAAAGATAGAATGCCTTTTGCTCCGTGCTTCAGCACGCCATTTTCTTAAAACAATCGAACCCCGAGGGCAATCCTGTTGCTTCTCCAGGACAAAGTGCCGGACGAGGCCTCCGCACGCTCCACCGATGCCGCCAGGGGCTCGGATGGGGGAGGTACTTCCAGCACGCCCGGAGCGTCTCAGCGCACGGGTCGCTGCGAACGATGGATCCCCATGAAGTAGACTTGTGTTGTCTTCGGAGAGCATTTCATGACCATTCTATTGACCACCCTCCAGGTTGCAGACGACTCTTAGACCCCAGAACCAATTGGACGACTCTGACGAACTCACTAACATGGAAGTGGACAATGGCCCCGAAAGGAAGACTACTTTCCTCTACAAACAGTGGGTTTTCCACTTCCATGTTAGTGAGTCGGAGTGTAGATGTTTTCTTTTGGACATGGTAACCTCTCAGCTATTCTTCACCAGCGTTGGCCCACCGTCATGCTCTTCGGGTTGGGCATCCGGTCCGGACCAGAATGGATTTCGTCCGGTCTGGCAGGTCCGGGAAATCATGACGCGTAGGTCACGTAGGTCAGATTCTTCGGGGAAAGCACGCCAAACCTACTAGGTCTTGCAGTTTTAGTTCAGATCACGGTCCTGTTTGGGTCCGAAGAAAGAAGTGGATCCATGATCCAACAACGCATGCCCTTTGCGTTAGGTCTCTTTGGCACTGGCGGCGGCTGGTTGCGCAGTTCCTTGGACGGAAGTTTTGGGCAGAAACCTGGCTGAGGTGAGCCATATGCAGCGTGGCCAACAACAATTGGACCCACCCTGCATGGTTGTTCGTCTTCAAAGACCCTGGAAAATTGGTCCTTTGCTGCACGGTGCGTGCACACCGCACCCCACCTGTCAATTGGATGCTGGGACCCCATATAGCGCAAGAGCCACCCAACAGATCCGTGTGCATGGCGTTGGTGGATCACCGGATTGCTCGGTTGGTACCTGCGTCCTGCATGGCGTTTCTCAGGTGGCCATGCGCGCCGCCTCGGCAGCCTCGGAGGAATCTGAGGCCGAGCTTGGGGAGGTTGTTCCGGGTGGCGGGGTGTTAAGTTATTTGTCCAATCAAAGGCGAGCTTGGTCGGTCAGAAACAACAATGATTCTTCCAGTAATGCCAATGATCTTGACAATTGATGCCACAAGATCTTGTCCAGTAATGCTATCTTGTGACAATGATCTTGGCATTGTCATGCCATTTGATCTTAGTGACAATGTCATGGATACATATTTACATGGACTGGCGGGGTACTCTGACCGGGCAGCTCGCTGCCTCTCTTCTTTTTTTCCAACATCGTGGCACCGTGCACCCAGGTCAAGGGCCGGGGTGTTTACTTCTCCGAACCCCTTCCTAACAGTCCGTTTGTTTGCAGGGAGGTGAAACTCTGTCAGGAAGAAAGGAGTGTTATGTCCTGACCCGTGACACTCACCCTTCCTTCTTTCGTGCCGTGCATTGTTGTTTTTTAATGGGTTGACATGTTGACTGCTGCCGGACCGATCCATCCAACCATCAGCCAGGCTCCAGCAGAGGAGAAGAGCTTCATGGCCCCTTTGGCGTCACGAGGGCGCAAGCGTGTGCCGCGTGCGTCGCGGAGTGGGTCTAAGGCATCACCGGGGGTGGGCGATCGGTGTCTTTGTTCCACGCAAAAGCGGCGCCCCCTGCTTGGGCGGGCTGGCACCTAACCAAGACCCATCAGAAAAAGGGATAGAAAAGGAAGGGTCTCCCACGGGTGAACTCCTTTTGAGGAGTGGGGTCCTAACCATGGTCCTTCCTATGGTCCTTGCGAGAGACGAGTCTGTGGAGCCCTCCGGATGTGGACAGATGTGGGACTCCACATGTGCGTGCTTCGACGAAACCAACGATGAAACCACCGAGACCGCATCGACGCGTCGACAGGCACGACCCGTCGACGCCGGCGACCCGGTCGTCCAGTCGACCGTCCGCCGCTGAGGACAAGTATGGCGTAGCGATCTACATCGGCCTCTGGTACCTCTTCAACATCGGTGGGGTTCCCCAGCTCTCAGAGCGATGGACTAGCCATGGATGGTTCGTCCCTGATGTTCGATGATTCGATGTTTCCATGTTTCTCTTCCCGGAAAGGTCGGATCAAAAAGAGACCTCCGGGGAGTATATAGTAAGTCTATGTCTTATCACATTTGTGAATATATATATATATATAAATGATATATGATCATTATATGATCATTATATATCTATATAGTACGTTTTGAAACCAGTGGAGGAGTGGGAGTGAAAAAAAGAACGGACCCTTCGGATCCCTTTCCACCACTCCCTTTGGATCCGGTGGAGGGTACGTGGAGGCCGGGGGATGGCGCGGGTGGTAGCGTGTGACATATGCGGAGTGGTCCGGTTTGTCATCTTCTCAAGGCGTTTTCAAGTACTTTCACCATTTCAACACACACACGCACACTTTTTCCAAGTCGCACCTGAGGATACAACATCTACAACAAGAAGGCCCTGTGCCTTGGAACAAAGGCAGCTCCCGCCATGCGGCCATTTCTTGGCCCGAGCCGGTCAACCGCGGGTGAGTTTTTCCTCCCAAACGAGGCTTTCTTCGGGGGGGTTGAAGGGTTTATCTTGGCTGCTGTCCCATTCCCTATTCGTCAGCTATAGCTTGATCACTTCGTGACGGAGTCTGGGCCCTTACTAAGCATCATCATCCGCCACTAGATACCACTAGTGATGATTGGACTTATATATCTATCTATTTGTTTGTCTGTCTGTCTGTCTGTCTGTCTATCCATCCATCGATCTATCTATCTAATCTAGATCTAGATCTAGATCTAGATCTAGATCTAGATCTAAATCAATCTAATCTTGATCTTAATCTCTATCTATCTATCTATCTATCTCTAAATATATATATATAATATGCTTAGGTTAGGAATCTTCCTGCTGGTACTTGCACAACAACTGATTCCTCGACGCCTTTTTGGTCTCAAGAGATCTACAGATTGTCCCTTCGTCTCGGGTGCGGTCTTGCAGTGCACTTAAAATGCCTGCGCTTTGAGGGTCCATATATCCATCAGCACCCCCTGGCCCACAGCCCCTCCACGGCCCACTGTTTGGTGCACATCATCATCTTATGTCAGTGCAAAGCTGTCATACCAGCAATGCAAAGAGGTTCATCCTCTATACCTTTTTTTGGGCCAACGCTCAGACTACAGGAATTGTCAGCCATTTTCTACCGTCTGCCGGCTTCAGAGAAACCAGGGGGAATAAGCCACGGACGATCAGTTGACCGGCCGCGCACGGAGCTCCGCCCAAGGATCTCGTATCCTTTCCCTTGGGCATGCGCGATGTGGCAGATGACCTTCGGCTGGCTGATCTTCTGCCCTCTGTGGATTTTGCGAGTCCGCAAGGAGCGCCTCCTGGAGAGGGGTAGAAGATGTATATTGTCATATATATATATATATATATATCTGCACTCAGCACTGTCAGCACTCGCGGGAAAAGGGTGAGGGTGAGTTGGAAGATGTACCTCCCTATTTTGGAATGCTTGTACAATTGAGATGGTTGACACCACCACCCGGTACAAGAAAGGCTGAGATGAGTCGTGTTATTTGCCCTGGCTTTCGGACTGGATCGAGAAGGTTCCTCCCAACCGGGTTTGGTTGAGTTGAGGATCTTTTTCGGGACACAATCCCCAAAGCAACATGGAACCCAAATCCACTGGCCGATAGAAGAAAGTCCCCACACCTTTGCCAGCGCTTGGCGTTTGGGATTGCAGGGGTCACGTCGCTGAGAGGGGGTGGGTGGGTCAAACTTCGCATCCTTGCTACGTATCTTGGCAATCATTCTCAAGAAGAAAACATTTTTTCATATTCAATTCTCATAAGAACCTTTTGACCATCCATCGGCACCGCCACCTTAGACCCCGAAGCTCACGGTGTCCCAAGCCGTGACCTTGGCGCCGGCGGCGCTCGGAGACTCAGAGGAGTAGAGGAGAGAAGCGCGTGGCAGGGTGGATGAGTAGAGGAGTAGAGGATGAAGCTTGAGATGAGTAGAATCGCTATGGATCACTATAGATCAGAAGAGTAGATCACGTGCTTGATTTGGTGTCCGGACCACCACCTTTTGGAAGCAAAATCATGTGCTTGGCTCCAGAGGGAATGGCTTCTGCAATGGGGGAAGGATGGCTTGCAATACGCAGCACAGATGAAGGTGGATTTTTGCGAGGCTCTTTGTTTTGTTGTTGGAGCCCCCAACAGTCCCTGAAGCTTGTCTCTTCAGCATTTTTCGATCCCCAAAGCAGGGAAGCATTGGTTCCATGAACCCAGTGATTTCTCTCACTAAGCCCACTGGAGCAGTGTGGTCCACCTTTATGTTTCTTCCCGAAGACGTGAAGCTCAGACGCGAAGCTTCAGAGCTTCACAGCGGAGGTGCAAAGAAGCACCACCCATTGGCAGGATTGTTTGTGTCAAAACACAGTGTGTCACAGGTGTGTCACCCATTTCACACTTGGCTGGTTTGCTGGGGGTGGGTCCAAACCATCGCCCATGGATGGTTAGACCGGTCCACCACGGGGGCGGTTGACAGGTCCAGGCCAGGCCACAAAGGCCTCCGCAATGCATCGGTTTTTCTATTTGCAATCCAGGTGTTTTCTGGCGCAAGTCGCCAAGCTCCAGTCAAGCAATGGGCGCTTTCGAATTCTTGATCTTCATGTGAGCATGGCGAAGATTTCGTGTTTGCCCTGCCCGGCCCTCCAATTCTTGATCTTTCAGAAGAAAAGACCGCTTGCTCGGCAGGCTCGGCCACCTTGCTACCCACGTTGGCGCGGTGGGGGCGCTGAGACCGGGGCGCTCGGCCCAGCGTGTGGGGAACGGCCCCAGACAGTCCCTCCAGACAGGCCGACAGACAGGCCGTACCCGACAGCGGGATGAAAAACCCGCTGGACCAAATGGGAGATCGAGAGGACTATCGAGAGGAACAGCGGTCTTTCTCCCTTTTTACAGGGTTCGGTCAGGACAACCGTGATTCTTTGCACGGTCCAACAGTCTGTGGGTTTGGGCCAAGTGGTGGAGGTGAGCGACCGCGGGTGTCAAGTAGCGGAGGGCCTGTTCTCTCGTGTTTTGTCTAAGACCAAGCTTTTTCCAGCCACGAGGCGATCCGTGTAATGCAAGCCTTTGCATGTGGATATGCAGGTGCAGCCTAGTACCTGGAGGTCGGTGTTCACAGGTTCCCAGGTGTTGGGGTGACCGCTCACCCAGTTGAGCCCCATGCGACGATCGGAGCCGCCGCGGAGCTTGGTGCCGCCGCCGCCGCGCCTTTTTTTCGTCTCCGGAGGTTGGTGTCCACCATGGGTTTTTGGAGGAGCTCCATTGGAGCCTCTCCAGTGAAAACAGGTCCCAAACCCTGAAGGCTGCCTTCGGTGGCGCCATCGTCTGAAAACCGCTGCCTGCCGTGAGGTGGTCGCCTTCTTCGCCGGCGCCGTGTCCTTCGGACACATTGTGAAGGCCCGGTTCCGCAGCGAGGAGATTGATGAATCGACCGAGTGACCGTCGTCAGGGTAGGTGGACATGCTTTTCATCAACCTCGACCCGCTCCGGTGATGTGAAAACCAACCGTGGGGGTTCGGTTTCACTGTGACGATGCGGGTAGGACGGTCCTTCGACTTGGGGTGGCCTTGTGGTGTTCGCCTGAAGTCATTGTCCAACGCTATGTCCGGCCATGGGAGTCAGACGTTGCTTCGCACCCGCCCCAGGCCCGTGTCCACCACGTCACTCGTCGTGAGTCTCGTGATCCTCCTTGCTGGAATGAAGCTGTTGAATAAGGGCATGACATGGACTACGGTGTGCTGGAACGACAAAAAAAACCATCTACGTACTTATAGAGTCGGTGGCTTGGATACTGTCAAACGACCAAGAATCAGATCAGATGAGGCTCGACTTCTTTTGGCAACAACATCGTGAGGTTTTTCCCCGACAGCATCCAACAGCAGAGGTTTCTTCTCTGGGTGGTGGTGTCAGAGATGAGATGATTCTACCTTTGCTAACGATTGATCCCACTGATTAATGCTCTTCTCTGTTCGTTTACCAACGAGTTCAACCAGAACCTCTCTCATCTCTCTCCGACTCTCATCTCTCTCCGACCCACCACACGCACGTGTGAAGCTTGCCCCGTTGAGGCCAGTGAGCCCGTGGTGAGCTCCTTCCTGAACTTCGCCTTCCTTGGGGAGGTGCCTCCTGAACTTTGCGTTTCGGGTGTCGAATCCGTGGGCTGAAAGGCTGTGAAAGGCTGTGAAAAGCATGAGAAAGACGGGACCCCCAAGCACCAACAGAAAGGTTCGGGACCCCCAGGGACATGAATGAATTTGTTCCGGGAGGTTTGGTGTTGGATTTTGAGGGTGTAGATCAAAACTTGATGAAGACAGGTGATGACAAGTGTAGACGAGTGTGAAGACGGTTACCCAATGGGGTCAAGGGAGGAGGTGTCTTCGCAGCCCAAATCAATGTCAGGTGTGTTTGGGGAGGGCCGGCGGGTCTTTGGATTTGCTCTGAAAGCAACTCACCCGCCCAACTAACGGGATGGTAGGACATTATATTATGCAACTCCCAGGCATACTTGCAAAGGCTGAGTTGTTTTGGGCCTAACATGAAACTAACTTACTTGGTCTCAACTGTGCTGCCGTTCCATCCTAAATTCCATGGGCCCACAAATAGTTTTTGACCACCCATAATATCCTATGGTCCTGTATGAAACGGATTGTCTGCCCAGTATCTGAGTGCGCAGATTCCGAACGATCCTCCAGGTGATGCCTTGGCAAGTCTATGCCTCTCTGCTGCCGATCATTGGCGGTGTGGGCATTGCGAGCGCCTCTGAGCTCTCCTTCAACTGGCTGCTGGGCCTGACAGGGCCAATCCGGCGGGTCTGTGCGGTCTCGGGGTGGAGGTGGAAGGGGGGCAGGCGGGGAGGTGGAGGTGGGTTCGAAGATGGGTTTCCGGGGACGATGAGAAGGTTTTCCGGAGATTTGGAGGTCTGGTTTTGGTTCCTTTTTTCGCTGGTTTGCTGCTTGGTGTTTCACCTGGATGGAGAATTTTCGGAGGTGATGGGAAGCGCTGGGCGCAGCCCAAGCTTGGATCTGGGGCCGCTGAGGCCGCTGTCCAGATGTTTCTCCACACAGCTTTGCCTGGGCCGGGGTTCACAAGTCTTGCATAGACACAATCCTGGGCCAAGAGGATTTCTGGCCTTTGGTCTCCTTTTGTCTCCCTTCGTCTCCCATGGCTTTTCCGGGTGCTGGGCTGAGATGATTCTGCTTTGTCTCCCATGCCTCCTTTGGATACTAGGTGGTGATCTGGAGATTTGTGTGGAACTCACACTACTTGCGGTGAGTTCACAAGGTACTCTGAAGTAATGGATCTTCAGTTGTCACGAAAGGTAGCCTGGTAAGGACTACCTTGAGTTTGCTTTGCGAAGCAAAGGGACTGGCTTGAGAGCTTGCTCGGGACTAAAGATTGGTAGATCAATGTCTAACACCCCCACCCCCCCCCCTCCCATGTGATGAATGATTGATAAATCAATTGATTCG